GAAGAAGTTGCAGATCTCCCCGAAGCAGTGGTATATGCTTCTAATTTTCTTGAGGAAGAAAACAAGGAGAACTCTTCATTTCAAAGCAATATGGCCGAAGGGCCATCAACATCACACGCAAGCGTTAGATACTATAGTTTTACACAGAAAATAGAGGATTTGAAAAAGCAGTTGTAAGTATTAGAATAAAAATATTAAAATACAATTTATTTATAGATACATTTTCATGAAAAAAATTTTAATAGGGAATCCGAGCGTCAAGAAAATGTGCGATTAAGCAAAGAAAACAAAAGGGTTCAGTCCGAAAATACACTTTTAAAGCGCAGTTATTATATGAAGGAGAAAAAGCGTGCATATGATATAGAGGTTTGGAAAAAAAGGGCAGTAGCAGCGGAGCATGCGTGCATAAATATGGAAAATAAGCTGGAGACCATATTTACAAAGGGGCAGATTACCAAATTAAAGAACGGCATTAGGAGACAAGCCTGGACCGAGAAGGACATAGCCCAATCAATAACTTTGTATGCCGCAAGCGCAAAAGCGTATAAATTACTATATAAGAAAGGTTTTCCACTGCCAGCGGTACGAACATTACAAGATTGGGCCAAGAGAATCGAAATTTGTCAAGGTGTGTTGCAACCCGTTGTAAAAATAATGAAAGCATCGACACACATGAGTGAAGTGCAAAAACTTTGCATATTAAGTTTTGATGAAATGAAAACTAGAGCGGCTTACTGCTATGATTCTCCATCGGATACAACATTGGCTCCTACAGGCTATGTACAAGTGGCAATGTTGAGAGGTCCGTGCAGAATATTGTCCAAAAGTTCTTATTTCACATTACTTTATTTTTAGGCTTAATGTCTAAGTGGAAGCAACCGATATTTTTCGACATTGATTGCAAAATGTCAAAGGATATTTTGTACAGTATTCTGGAAACCACCAAACATTGTGGGTATCATATTGTAGAGCTGTAATGAGCGACTTGGGAGTTCATGAAGAAAAACCATGGTAGGTACTGATAATTCACGAACCTGTACCTGAAGGTTCTTAGTTGAAACTTATTTTGTATTTACAGCTTTCTGTACGGCGACGAAAAAATTTTTGTGTTCTCAGCGGTTCCTCATATGATAAAATTGTTAAGGAACCACTTCCTGGACAAAGGTTTTATTATAAATGGGAAAGAAGTGAAAAAAGAAATAATTTTGGAGCTGCTTTCGTGTACCTCGAACGATCTGTCAATAACACATACAATTTCGGTGAGCCATCTTAATGTAGCTGGACCCCACAGACAAAAGGTGAAAACGGCTACAAAACTATTTTCCAACACCATAGCGCAAGCTATTAAACGAGCATCGACTCTAGGCTATCTAAGTGGACATAGTTGGAATGAATGTTTCGAGTTATTTAAATTGGTAATAATTTTATTTAAGTAATTTAATAAGAATTATGTAATTAAAAATGAATGTGTATACAAATTTTAGACTAATGATTGGTTCGATGTTATGAACGTAAAGGTGCCTCACCCAGACGGAAGAGAACGACGTAGCGCCTACGGATTATCTCTTGACGCACAAGATACAATTTTGGATGAAATGACGAATATGATGCAAAATATGAGGGTCATTGGAAAACTAAGTTTGTTGCCATTTCAGAAAGGTAAAATTTTCATTCATGTGTAGTCTAGATTCAATGAAAAAGAAATATAATTACCAATTTATAGGAATTATACAGTCAAATAGAGCAGTGAAATTGTTATTTCAATATTTAAAGAGCCGTTTCAATGTAAAATACATTCTAACCTATCGCTTAAATCAGGATGTATTAGCAAACTTCTTTGGCGTTATTAGTGCAGAAGGCGGCTTAAATGACCATCCTGACCAACAAGAATTTAAATACCGGCTTAGGGGATATATTCTTGGACACAACCAAGGTGTGATATCCGACAACGCCAATATCGAAGTTGACGACACCCAGATCTTGAAGTTTCTCAGCCACCTCTTACAGGTATATATTTCAAATAAATAATTTCCCAAAGACATAATAGTAACTCTTTTTACTTTTTTATTAATTACAGCAAACATTTTCAAGGCTATAATTGTCTCTGCAATAAGGGAGGAGCCGACTGAAGAGTTCCATATTAATGAATTGGAGTATGACGGATTAGAAAACCTTGCTGGGTATATTTGCCATAGGTTTCGAGATGAAATCCCCAGCACATTGTTACAAAGTGAGGAAAACCAGTCTTACTCTTGGGTAAATCAGTTGAACGAAGGTGGATTATCTGTTCCAAGCAGTGTTATGATGGATCACATGCGTCGGATGGACGATATTTTTAAAACGATCAATGGGGAAAGCTTGATGATCACAACCCAGTTTTTGGAAAAGCATATTGAAAAGGCTTCTGATATAGACTGTGACAGAAAAATTAAAAAATTATTCTTTAGGTCTAGAATGTACATAGTAATACGCAAATTAAACAGAGAAATTGAACAAAATGCCGGTGAAGAAAACGAAAGTATGTTAAAATATTAACGTAAATGTTATTTATAAGTTTTAGCTGTAAATAAACTTTTAATTTTTATTATCTGAATTAACTTATTAAGTTCCAAAATCATTTTCATTCAATTTTGCTTTATTTAAACTTAATCGGTTATAATGTTTCATAACTTAATACAAGTGTAATGAATTTATTTTAAGTAGTTTAATGTAGTACCATATTTCTAAACAGTTTTTCTAAATAGAAAATACAAACTTACAAATAGAAAATACAAAAAAAAAAAAAACAACAACAAAAAAGGAAATTTTTCTAATCAAGTACTTCCCGATATGAGATCGTCGCCACTGTACAAGATGTGGAATAGTTGCTGCTGGTGATGACATGTATGTATATAAATTTTCATGAGATATACCGATTACACTTGACATGTCTTAATTAAGATAAATTCAAAAATAATAATGTTGAATACGATTGATATTCAAATTTCAAAAATTTAGTTCAACATTGTGCGTCGGTCATAGATGTGACGACGTTGTTCGCGTACTTGGCGCTTCCACTTATCCGTCTGATGGCCAACACGATTCAATACATTGGCACGCGAGTTCAACTCTTGATTTACCATGCCGGTTGGTAATGGTGGGGCAGTAGCACTTGCGTCGTCATCTTCGTTTGTGTGTTCCTGATAATTCGCTTTAACACGTTTGTTGAGTAAGGGATCCAAGCAAATGAGGAAGAGCATGTATATCACCAGAATTGATATAATCCAAATAACAACGATGACAACGACCTTTATAAGTGTGGTGTTGCGCGCTTCATGCTGGCATTTGCTTTCTGGGCATATCTCCAGCACTTTACCATTTTCACTCAAGCGTGGAACCAAAGCTCCATCACAAACACATTTGGGCGTTGAGTTTGCAAAGTCATTTGTGGTATTTTTTTGCAATAACTTACTATTGCAATTTTTGTTGCGATTTTGTTTTAATATCTCCTGGCTAATCAGCATTATTTGCGTCCATCTTATTTAAGTAAGCTGGGGCTGGTATTTGTGGCTAGAGATGATGATTCACCTGCGCATCTTTCACTAAATGGCTGTGTATCGCCAGGGCCGAAACTGTTGATAATGTTATTCATGCTGAACGACAGTAGTGAAGATTATTGCTGATTGTTGACTCAAATTGTGCCCCAAAGCACAAATCCATAAATCCACATCTATAGTTGGAAGTTCTCTTCCAGCATTCACCATGCAAAATGTGTAGCTATAAAACTTGCGATAATATTTTTATTTACGTCGAATACTTATTCTAGAGTCTTAACGTTTACTGGAATTCTATATTTAACCGATTGCAAGCAAAAATATTAAAAAATATGGCTTTTTTTCAATGTTTATATGTTTGTTTACAAAATGTGCGCCATCTTGACACAATCTTGACACAATCCAAAGAACGTATTTACATACGTTCTTGGCATTTTTTACGCTCTTTGCTGCAATGACGTAGATGCGCAGATCGTAAATTTTTTGTTCACCGTCGACCGCGCAATCTATTTTCTATCATTCTTGTAGAAACAATTTCACTCACATATATGTCCATTGACTCACAATTTTCTAATTTGTTGTTCACCATTTTTCGCATAAATAAGTGTCACTGCACCAGTGTCTTCAAAAATATCTTTCAATTTTTTCCACACCTCTTGTGGTGTAAGGGCTCCTTGCACATGCACAAAATTTGTTTTGTCAATAGTTAAAACTATTGCTGCTTTTGCTTTTGCATTTTTCCTCACGTCTGTCTCTTCGCCTGTGAAGCACTTCGACAAGTCTTCGATTGCTAGGTAGCTTCCAATTGAGAACTTCCACGATGAGTAATTCTCCCTTCCCTTTAATTTCTCTATCGAAGACAGCAACGACGATGACATTGTAATTTCTGCAATTCGATTTGTTTGCGTTGTTGTTGTTTCAATGGTCTTTTCAAATTTCTTTTGCGCTGGTGTTTCTTCGCTGCTACTGCAATTCCCGTCGTCTTTTGAGATCGGCTTAATATCTGCCATGCACAATGTGATTTAAATTTTTATGTGCACAACCAATATACATACATATAATGAACAGAACTGGTGGCAATGCATTTTTATTCACTAAAATCGAAGAAATTTTTCTCTTTAACAATCTTTATTTGTGCTTTAACTTTTAGTTATCTTTCTTAGGCATCTGGGTCCATAACCTGAAGAAATTAGTGTTTTTGCAGTGGATAGAAAAAACGAAATTAAAACAGAGTAAAGATTTTGCGCTTCTATTCACTCAGACAATTTATTCAGAAGAAGGAAATGAAAGAAGAAGCATATATACATGTGTTACAATTGACATCTGTCAATGTGCACTGAGAGAAAAATGCATTAATTAATATTTACAACAGTTTGACAGAACGCACGTTAAAAGTATGCTTGCTACAATGAACGCATGGCAGCGAATGCTTGGGCCACTAAATTAACATACTAACGACAGATAAATTAATATTTCATATCAATAATTGCATTAAAAACGATATTTCTTGCCCGCACTTGATTAAAAAGGGAAAATATTTCACACAATTTTATTTATTTGCAACAGCTGACGAGCAACGCACGCGAAAAGATGAGTGTTGGCCATCTTTTTGCTTTGTGTTGGCGTGAGCGTTGACGAATTTTGGCTACGTGGACGGCTGCATTTGAATTCAAGTATTCCTAGTCAGCTGTTGAAGCGAGGCCAACGCCAACGCAACGCCAAAGTTTTATGTGGACGGGCCTTTACGCTCTATCGTTTAGTCGTTGGCTAGAGAGCAACGAATCAACATCGTGGCTATTGCGCTTTGTTTCTTGTATGCAAAAATGCCTTGCGAGAAATATTACACGCTTGAAAATGCTTTTGGTGACAAGCAATGCCTTTTGTGTTATAAGTCATTTAAAAAATAAAGCATATGCTATTCATAAGGAAACATTTTGATGAAGAAGAATGAAAAAAGTAAATTTTTTTTCAAAGAATTAAAGGGTGGTTGTTAAAGGGAATATGTATGCGATTAAAAGACATTTTTAATCATTTCATAATGATATGGAAAATTTCGATGAACATCAATTTAAATGTGTTTATTTAAATTTTCAATATTTGACGTGGGTGAATCCAAATGAATTTTTGAAATTTTTTATTTAAGTTTTACTTCAATATTTCCGTAACTCAAAAAACTAAAAACTCGAGAAAACTCGAGATACTCCCAAGGGAAAAATTAATACATATTCAGTTTTATCATTTGTTTCCGTGAGTTTACTATGTGCGGAAGAACATTTTTCGGGTGAATTTTTTTTCGGGCGAAACTCAGGATAAGGCTGATTTTGTTCTAGTGAGCTACTGGTAATCGTTACAGCTATGAAATTTTTACACATCATGAGAAAGAGCTAATGTTCATTCTTGCAAACTTAACCCGATTTTTGCTTTTTTGGGATTATGATACTTTTATAGTAAATGAGTGATGCACATTTATGTACATATCGTCGTTTAAAGTACAAAACCGCATATCAAGATAATGCAAAACCGCGTATGTGAATTGTGTTAATAATTTTCTAGAGGGTAAAAACACTCACATTTCAAAATAGTTCTCTCTTTTATGAAGCAATCGCATACCTGGCCAGTATATTTCAGGACGAATGGATAAGGATTGAGCCAAGAGCTTGTATGAGCAAATCCAATTTTTGAAAGTTAATGCCAGTTACGCGGTTTTGCAGAATAACGATACCCGGTTTTGTACTTTAAACGACGATATGCATGTGTTAAATAAATTTATTTATATGTTTATATTGACGACCGATAAGTTAAAAATTTTGTTTCACTTCTCGTAATTTCCTACTGGGTTGATCACAGGCACAGTTTTACTTTTGCCGACCACTGATCTAAAGTGAGCTAACTCAAAATTCGGAGAGGGAAATTTAACTGCTTGTGGATGGTACAGATTCAACGCAATTAATACAAAACAGGTATACCAGTGGTTTTTTTAGTTAATGTATACAATCATGAAGAAAAAAATATTTCCATTGATTGGATGTAAGTCCTATGAATTGATTTATGCAAAAAAATTGCCCAAAATTGTGTTTGAGTTGATCGCACTTCAGATCTAGGTGTGCGGTCTGTGACGGGCACACCTAAATACTTTTGTACTTAAAGTACCACTTTGGGTACTAAATACACAAATACTTAGTATTTGGAGAGGACTAAATATTCAAGTAAAAAGAACTTAGGTATTTAGGAGCTGCTAAAAACCCAAGTACTATTTACTTAGGTATTTAGGAGCTGCTAAGTACCCAAGTAAACAATACGTAGATACTTAGGAGCTGCTAAATACCCAAGTAAAAAATATTTAGGTATTTAGGAGCTATTAGATATTAAAGTAAGAAAAACTTGAGTATTTAGGAGCTGGTAGATACCAAAGTACAAAAAATGAAAGTATTTAGCCGGCGCTAAATACTCTGGTCCAAAGTACTCAGGTACCTTGGGGATGCAAAATACTTTCACTACACTACCAAGGTATTTAGTCGATGGCTAAATCCTTTCAAACTAAATACTGTATAATTTACGAGAAATTTAGAGAATCAACACCTCAACTAACTTTACCACAACTCACTTTACCTCTCCTCCAATGAACTCACCACATACAAACTCATCACACCTTAATTTGGGAACTGTTTCGGGATTTTAGAGATTCTTCAGACTAAATCAGAATTTTCAAGACTATTTCGGGGTTTTCGGGACTATTTCGGGATATTAGAAGCTATTTCGTAATTCTTTAGGGATTCCGGGAAACTTTGTTTGAGATTTTGGGATTCTCAGACTAATATCGGGATTTTCCAGACTACGTCGGGACTATTTACGGATTTTAGGGACTTATTTCGGACTTTTGCGACTTTCGGGACCGCTTCGGGTTTTTTGAGACCGGGATTTTCGGAACCAAAATCCGTATTATGGGGACTAATTTCGGGATTTTTGTGACTTGGAATTTTTGGGACTCTGGGACTATTTTTGGATTTTTGGCACTCATATTGAATTTTTGGGACTTTCGGTACTATTTAGGGATTATCGGGAGTAATTTCGATATTTTTGGGTCTTTCGGTACTCTTTCGGAATTCTCGGGAATAATTTCGGATTTTCGAGAGTATTTCGGGATTTTTGAGACTTTCGGGACCATTTTTGGAGCTTTGGGACTATTTCAGGTTTTTGGGATTTTCGCGACTATTTCGTAATTCTCGGAACTGATTTCGGGATTTTTGGGACTTATTTTGGGATTTTTGGGGCTTTCGGGAGTATATCAATCTTTTTGGGTTTTGAGACTCCTTTTGGTTTTTTGAGACTTTCGGGATTTTCGGGACTAATTTCCGATTTTTGGGACTTTCGGTACTATTTCTCCATTTTTGGGATTAATTTAGAAATTTTGGGACTTTGTGAACTAATTAGGAATTTTTGGGACCAATTTTCGGATTAATGGCACTTTCGGGACTATTTCGGGATTATCGGAACTAATTTCGGGACTGTTGGCACCTCCGGGACTACTTAGGGATTTTTGGGAGTAATTTCGAAATTTTTGGGACTTGCGGGACATTTCCAGATTTTTGGAGCTTTCGGGTCTATTTAGAGTTTGTCGGGAGTAATTTCGGGATTTCTGGACTTTCCAGATTTTTGGGACTTTCGGGACTATTTCGGGATTCTCAGGAATATTTCGGGATTTTTGGGACTTTCGGGACTATTTTTTGATTTCTGGGACTTTCGGTACCATTTCGGGATTTTCGGGACTTATTTAGGAACTTTGGGACTTTCGGGACTATTTCGTAATTCGCTGAACTGATTTCGGGATCTTTGGGACTCATTTTGGGATTTTTGGGGCTTTCGGGAGTATATCGATTATTTGGGCCTTCTTTTGGATTTTTTAGGCTTTCGGGACCATTTCGGGGTTTTCAGGTGTATTTCGGGATTTCTGGAACTAATTTCGGATTTTTGGGACTTTCGGGGCTATCTCTCCATTTTTGGGATTAATTTAGGAATTTTGGGACTTTGAGAAGGGATTTTAGTGACCTATTTTCGGATTTTTGGGACTTTCGGGACTATTTCCTACAGTAATCCACACGTATTGGATTTAAAATCTGATAATTTACCCACGTTCAACCAAATAGACCTATTTTCTAAAAGAAAGTTGCTAATGCAAATTAAAAAATTCTTTTATTCATTGAACTTGATCAAAAATACAAATTGCACTGCCTTACAGAAAGTCAAATTTCTTAGAGTAGTTTACTCTAGTTAGCACTCTTTGCTCAAATCGTATTGGAATCAGCCGACGGGTGCAGATGATGGCAGAGGCGTATTGGTCTTTATAAATAAATTTCTTATCGTAGGGTACAAATTAAGCACAAAGCAGAGCTCGCAAGCTTGTATTAAAGGAGGTGTTGGAAGCGAAAACAAAATATAAGTCAGACTCTGGACAGCCTTCGAGTGAAGATGACTTTTTTGATTTCGGATCAAGTTCTAGCCATAACGCGGAAGCTATTTTTGGAAATTTAGAGCAGAAAAAGCAACTTCAAAATTTCCTTACTGATAGCTGAACGCACCTACTTATGCTCAATTCGATTTGAGCAAAGAGTGCTAACTAGAGTAAACTACTCTAAGAAATTTAACTTTCTGTAAGGCGGTGCAATTTGTATTTTTGATCAAGTTCAATGAAAAAAAGAATTTTTTAATTTGGATTAGCAACTTTCTTTTAGAAAATAGGTCTATTTGGTTGAACGTGGGTAAAGAATCATATTTTAAATCCAATACGTGTGGATTACTATAGGAAATAGTCCCGTAAGTCCTAAAAATCCGAAATTAGTCCAAAAAAGCCGTACATAAGTCCAGGGCATCCCGAAAATCCCGAAATGATCTAAAAACCCCAGTATTAGTCCCGAGAATTTCGAAATATTTCAGAAAGTCCCAAAAATCCTGAAATTAGTCCCAGGAATCCCGGAAGTCCCAAAAGCTCCAAAGTTGTCTCGAAAATCACAAA